TTACACCTGTGGTTGCCCCTTTAGATTGTGCTATTGGTGTAAGATTAGCAGATCATGGCACACCGCAGCTCAGTGTATAAATTCTGGCTCTAAGTTAACAGTAAAAGGTTTTGTCTATAGATACACAAAAATCTGATAGCAAAGATAGTCCAGAAAAGCTGAAATATATCCTCACCCTTAGTTCCTGAAGTCCTTCCCCTAGCCTGGCTAATATGTGTAGACCAACTTTTTTTTTTTTTTTTTTAAATCAAATTTTCCTGCAGCTCTGCCAGACAGCTCTGATCTTACTGTGATTTCACACCTGTTAAGAATAATCACTGGTCTAGCCAGCTCTTACTGGGAGAAAAGAGCAGGATTACATTTACCCATTTCCTCTTCCAACATCAGTAGTGTCTGTAGATAGAAAATATGCATTCAAGGGCATAGGCAGGCTATACTATTTCAACTACAGCATGCCTAGCACAAAATTGTGATTGGAACCTAAATGCTAATGTCACCTTAAAGGATAATATTTTTCCAGGTGCTGCAAAGAGTTTTAGGAGATAGTTTCAGAGATGAGTGCATAGGAGCAGCCAATGCACAGCTGCTCGAAACACTGCCATGCAGCAATTACACATGTAGTGAAAAAAAGACCTCCTTCAAGAGAGCTGCTGAGGACAGCTGCAGACCAGCTCTGCTCAGCATTCATTAGCTTTTTTTTTTTTCATCTTCTTTAATCCAGCCCTGACCAAAACTTTAGATGATGATTAGACCAAAGATTTGTGTATTGTTACACCCTCTCCAACTCCGGCTGTAACTTCTTATCTGTGAGAGCCCCAGAATTCACAGTCCAGGATAGAAGTCTTCCTATCTCTGATATTTCTTTGGCACACTGGGTACAACCACTTCTCTACCATCACCTATTTCTGAATTGCCTTTGGGCAAAGCACCATAATCCTCGCTGGAATAGAATAAACAGAAGCATGGACTGCCAGACACCTAAAAGCACTTGTGAACCCTGGGCTATGGCAGACAAAAAGCCTTTCAATATTCCTCCCAGCAAATCTTCCACAGATGCATAATGACTTCTGTGCCCAAGCTCACTTACCCTTACACTCTAGTGATGTTCTAAATGGTTCTGTTATGTATATGACATACTTATTTGTAAGTAACCCTTCCCTTACAGATGGTGAGATGCCAGCTATGAATCAACAGAATTCATAAAGCTCTGCCAAAGGTTCTCATAGCCCTGAGTTGCGCACACGGGTGCTTTAAATACTCAAAAGCGTTCTGCTTTCTTCACACCTGAAATATGGCTCCTGTAGCCCTACACCTACAGAATCCACAAGCCATTACATGATAGCCCACGCAAAGTGAATTTGAAATGCAGACACATGACCTCAGACTCGGCTCATAAAGGGCGATCTGTACTGCAATATTTGAGACTTACAAGTGCAAACACAGCAGAGGCACTACAGGGCTTATGTGAGAAAATAATTATTCCATGTAGAAAGGAAGTTGGCTCACTTTGAGCAGAGGTGTTAATAGACTAACCTTTTTCCCCACACCAGCCTGCTTACCTGAAAATATGAAAACATCTCCTGATGTGGTGTTGCATTTATTTGAGATGGGTATCATATCCTACACATGTTAAACATCTTGCTGCATTTCAGACTAAGATGGTAGTTAATCTGAATGTCAGTTATAAGATTTATTTTAAAATAAATGTTAGACAACAGCGCTGCAATTTTAGTAATTTGGGGGCATAGTGGCACGTAGATCTCACTATACAAATATAGCTGAACTTAAAAAAATTAATAATAAAGAAACATCAGAATAAATATCTTCCCCCTTCCACCGGGTTCAGGATAATTAACAAGAGCTGGATTCCAAATGACAGCAACAAGACAGGTTCTTGGCAAACAGCAGATTGCTTCACCCCAGAGATCCACCAAAACAAGGTTAAAACCAGCAGTAACTGGAGCAAGGCAAAAGGTGGAGGGATCACAAAGATCTAAGGAAGAAGAGGTATTTAGTTCACTCTCAAAGGCAGCATATCTTTGTTCTCTAAACAAGCTTTGCTTTAGTCCCACTGTCTCCATTATGTGTCAGCTGCAATCAATGGTAATTCCTTTGCATTGGCAGAAGTGAGAGCAATTGTGTAGGCATAGCATTAGCAATTTAAGCACTGAGCCATCCAACTGATGTGGCTGCACCTGAGTAACGCTTCCCCCAGACTCATCTTCCTCTATGCAGTAAATTAGTTTCCTCTGCCAACACGCATGAAGTAGGCCCCTAACCCTATATGAAGTTCTCAAATTAGCCCTGCTGAGAGATCCAAGCACTTGTGCAGCCATGCCTGCAGGCTGGGTAGGATCCCAGTGACGCTGAGGGCATGGGACAACCTCTTCTCTTGGCTTCTTTCCAGCCAGAACTGCAACAGGCTCCAGCCAGAACATACATCAGTAACATCCTCTACAGCAATAAAAGCATTAGCGTCAGCAGCAGAGCTCTGCTGCTGCAAAGTGGGCAGCAGTGATTCGGGGCACTTGTTCTTCCAGCAAATTCCTCTTACCTCAAGGGGATGAAGGACTAGCATGGACAGGCAAGAAATAATTGTCTGCACCTCCTTCCTTGCAGTTCAAATATATAACCACTCCTGCCTAGTGCTGATGTACTTCTGGATAAACTTTGGGAAAGGACAAGGATAATATGTGTTGTCTCAAGTTGAACATACCCACACATTTTATTTAAGTTCACAAAAGACGCAGTGACTAATGTCATACACTTGTCTCCCAAAGTAGGAAAGTAGAAATAAGCTGCTGGCCCACTCAGTAGAAGTTGGAAAATACTGCCAGTCAGCTGCTAATCTGTGAAGGAAGGGTTCCCAGGCCACCCAGACCTCAGAGGAAGTCCTTCTTCAGTGCTTTTCTCAAGGCTATAGCCCTCTATGCTAGCAACATTGCAATGCGAGCTCTGGAAGAGGAAAGGAGGGGGGCCTTGCATTACATACCCTTAAGTAACTCTTAGATCTGTTGCAATTAATTGGTCCACTTCTTTTGCTCCTCCTCAAACTGAAACTATCTGCCCTAAAGAAAGTTCGCTTTTGCACTGTTTGTGGATATGGGTGTGTGTACATGGGTGTGTTTGGTTTTTTATTATTGGTTTTATACACACTAAAATAAGCAAGTTGCAAGTCTGCCTGCTTTATGGAAATATACAACATAAAGAAATAATTTCTCATCTCATCTGCCCAAGGCAGATCATTCAAGCTATTTGCAAAGATGTTAGTGTGCTAATATACAGTATGCATGGGCACCTTTTACATGTATCACACACACCTACGTGCCTGGAAACAAATCAATAACTCTCTACACGAAAGCTTGCGTGTTTGCTCTTATTAGACATGGGATGGTGCCCTGGGGAGAGCCACAGGCATTCCATTACTGAGGATCAGTGCCTGAGCAGAATGGAAAGGCTGCTAAAAATAAGCAACATTTGCTCATTGGTATAAATAACAAAAGTGAGAGAGAAAGAAAAACAGAAAGAGAACAAGACGAAAATGAAAACTGGCCCCAGACCAGGGCTCACAGAATGACTAGTCACCTCCTCACTGCCAATTCTGTCACCATCTCCAGTATGGGCAAGGTACTTTTACAGCACCAAGTGCCCTCAGCTTCTCTACTGAGAGGACCATTACTTGCAGATTTGCCTGGGCCTCAACACAGAAGGAAGCTCCCTTCAGCACATGCGTCTGCTCCTATGAGTTTCACGGCTTGCAAGCATTGAAACAAGGATGCAGCACTGCACAAACCAGCACACACCACCAGTACAATCCATGTTAGTTTCTGAAGCAGCAACACGGTTTATTTCTGTTCTGTTTATAAAGTGAATTCTGGGGGAGAAGGAAAGGGGCACCACTTTCATTAATTGAACATTAAAAACGTTATCCTCTCTTTATTGAAGAAAAAATCATTTCTGGATTCCCCTTTTCTACCAGACTTCCCAGCAAATAGTTCCTAGAGCACGCTTGTCTTCCTGTTCTCAACTACTAAAGCTGAGACATGCCTATCTATATTTGGAGAAAAATCAGCAGACCAAGCTAATTAAAAACTCACATTTGCCCTGTATTCCTAAAAGTACTGCGCATCTCTGTGGCTCCAAACATCCCAGGGTGGGCTGCCTTTTTATACAGCTGCAAAGTTTGAAAGCTGAATATGCTTATGGTTATTTTTCACTTTAAGCTCTTATTAGTAAGAAAAAGAATAATTAGGAACCAGCTCCCAAGTGGAACTCTCAACCTTACCTCTGTTTCCACTTCATGCACTGTATTGTAATAAAGCACACCAAAATTCTATTAGCCCAACAATTAAAAATTGTGGTATTAACAACTCCCACTCACTGCCTTAAGCAGGGTTAGCTGGGAGAGCTGAAGCAGCTGTCTGTCCTGTGCCTCTGCCAGAGGTCACCATCCTGCAGTGGGATCAGCTGATCCCGCTGGATAAACTCCCAAGCAAGTGCAGTCTGCAGGCTGCAGCATTAACATAAACCACCTCCAATTTCAGTTTACTCTGGCAGTAACCTCCTAGAAAAATAAAAGGGAGGAAACCTAAGATTGGTAACTGTTTCATCTCTTAGTATCAGATAAATCCACCTCTGATTACATTTCAAAGCCCTAAAAAATGAAACAGTTGAGAAGTTTATAATAATGTTCTGGCTTGCCATGAATTAACATGAATTCTCATAATGAAAAAGGTCACCAGCATAACCATTGAAACACAGAGCTAAAAGAAGGGCTAAAAAAGGTCCTCTAAAGTTTATCCAGGTATGCGCAGACTTCAAACATTCTCAAAAATAGCTACAGCTGCTAGCTCTATGAAATTAAGCCCTTCCAGAACTGGAGCTAGGATAAATTTCAGTACCTCTCTCTGTATGGCCCAATAATGCTGGGAAGTCCACATTATTGTAGCTACAGTATGAATTCTTGATGCAGTAAAAAGATGAGAGGACAAGGATCCTACCTCAAGACGGCTGTTTTTCACGCTGGAGTAAGAGATGGCCAGCTCAAAAAGGGTGGTCTCTTTAGCTCCCAAAGTAGAGATACCAACACTTACAATAGGGTTGCATACACATAACTATGGAAGAAAACAGCAGGTGGTTACAGTTAAGTTTCTGATGCATGCATTTCACACGTTGTCAAATACACAATAAAGAATAAAGATGTCAGCTTCAAGTAATGGTATGAATGAGGAGAGTACAAAACTGTGGCTATACCTTGACTAAAGGCAAATGGTAAAGAAGGAGTGCCACTGTCTCCATGGTGCGGGATATGGGTGCAACAAGGTAAGAAATAAGGACAAGATTTGTTACACTTAGTCTCAAGTGTGATGCTGAGGAGGCTGGGAGGTGGGGGAGGTTTTACAAAAGGAGGATGATCTGCAATATCTGAAAGAGTTTTTCTTCATAGAGTTGAACCCCACACACATAGTGGCAACACCACAAAGCCCTGGTAGAGGTGCCTCACACTGAGACAGAGGAGAGGGATCCTCTGTTGTGGTTTCCACCACACTTGCCCTGTCCTCTTACACACAGCTTACGCTGACATCTCTCCAATGAGCCCAGAGAAACCAAACACTGACACAGTCACTTCCTGTGGTCCTCACACTCCCCATCCAGCCAATATGGGTGAGTTCTTTAGCAGAGTAGGACCAGTACACGACGCACAGACCTGACCATGCTACAGTTTCAAGATTGTCCCTCCCAAATGACCCAGAAGTACAGCAAGCTCAGGAGAGGAGCAGCAGCTTGATGCCATTGGCTGCAGCCCCAGTGGACCAGCAGGCCCCTCAGTGCATGCCTAAACATGGATGCAGAAATGCAACGAGAGCATTGGTCTCATTTTTCCTTCTTCAATATTTAAAGCAAGTCAGTGTACACAGTGTTGATTTGAGTTGTCCTTTTCTGCTCTTGAAAAGCAGTCCAGGGAGAGGGCGTTCACTGGTTTCTTACCTTACAATGTTTTTACCACAAAATGCAGCGGGTGACCAAAGACCAAACACAATGACATCATGACAACCAGTAAGAAAGTAAAGAAATAACAAGAGAAGGATTTTCCTTCAGCTTGCCTAGCATTAAAAGTTGTTAAATCAAATGAAGGGGGAAAAAAAAAAAAAAAAACATCTTGACAGTTGTATACATCTAAGAATTAAGGAAGATCTGAAAACACATTTTAAAATGCAGGTTGCCAAATCTGACTTCCTGAGTTGTTGAGCCAATGAAATTCACTCCATTTATACTTTCGTGTATGGCTCTCACTTGCAATAGTATTTTTATTAAATATTTCAGCCAACAAAAGGAAACAGCAAAGCCAGAAGGGAGACAAGACGTTCTTTTTCAGGGACACTGGAAACTGATTCAGCAAAGTGGGACAAGGAAAATGCTAGGAAATACAAATCTACCCTACAGTTTAACTGGGCTGGGAGGGGACTGGAGCCTAAGAGCGGCTTGTCACCTTCCTTCAGATGATGCTGATGACAGTTGGCATTAGCTGCACTACAATGCAGAAAAAAAGCAGGAGCTCTCACTAGCAGCTGGATCTACAGAGGCAGTAAGCAAGAATGTAATAATGCATCTTTGTAGTGTTCAGAGAGGAGAAAATAGCTAACCTAGAAGAAAACAAGAAAAAAAAAAAAAAAAAGATCTACACCAGAAGCAAGAATGGGAAGGGACACATCGGTGTGGTGCAGGGACTGCCTGCTCCAGCACAGTGGAAAAGGTTCCCACTGCTACAGCACTGTCGTGTTCTTGCAGCACAGCTGTTCAGGGCCGTGCCTCCCCCAGGGGAACATTGCAAGCAGTTATGGGTACCTTAGGGAGGTTTCATCATGGACTATTCTGTTAGGCTCTGTGATGATCCACAGCCACATCTTACATCAGGTTTCTCTCACACAGCAAATTTCAAGATTACAGGAAGTAAAACTTTTGAAGGGAAAGTGCAGGCATTGAGATGGATTGTTTGCAGCCATCAGATTCGTGCCCTATTTTATGCCTGCAAATGCAATGTATACAAAAGGCGATTTGGCAATGGTGTGAAGAGGCTCTCTCTCTGAAATTCCAACCTTTCTCTCAGTTTCAGGCCATGCCATGCCTCCTATTTTACTTTCAAGCAGCTAACTGGCAGAGAAAACCATGATGTAAGCTAGTAACTACACAAAATTAGCCCTAGCCAACTGTGAATTCATTTGTTCTATTTGCAGTCTCTCCTTTGCTGAAACAAAAGTTGCTAAAGTCAGCATATTTCATCACGTTTAAAATTGTAACAACAGCAAAAGCACAAAGAAAAATATTGCTAATGCAAATGATGAACAAAACTCCAGCCTAGGGATGATTGCGGCAGCAGAGAAATTTAGTATGTCTGACCTGCTTCACTGCCACCTTTCATTTTCTAGTTCAGCCTCTTTACCAAAATTAAAAACAAAAAGTAAAAATCGTAGTCTCTTTCTGTAGATAATAAAAGAAAATACTAACCATGCTCATTTGTAGAATAAGACTTTTTGCAAGCTGTAAGTATCTCTACACAATTAATATCAAAATGAACAGCACTTGCTAAATAAATCTGCACTAATCTAATCTAACAGCACCTAAACACACTGTGTTTCCTATTGTTATACCCCTAGGAAAGATTTTCCTAGCCCTCCCCCTGCCCCCTTAACTTCCTGTACTTCCTGCATCTCAAAGGCACGCAAATGCATGCTTAACAGTTTCCCCCCTTCTTTGACACACACTTTTTTTTTTTCTTCTTTTTTTAAACAGGCTAGAAACAAACACACATGTATTTATTTACACTGTGATAGTCTCCAAAGGCACCATTCAGCCCTGTGGTTAAAGCAAACAACCAATGAGAATTGTAAGTCCAGAGTTCAAGCGGCAGCGATCAATGCGCTGAGTTCATATGCCGGCAAACGCCAGCATGTGGGTACCCACAAAACAGAGCACTGCAAGGTATAATTGCTTCCTCCATTAAATTGCATGGTATTTGATGTATGGAAATGTATTTCCTCTTGCATAGGATTTCTACCCCTTACATTGTCACAAAAACTGGTTTCTGTTACCTTGGTCACTGCGCATGAGTTATCATGATGACTAGGCACAACCTTTATATCCACTCCGTTAAATTACATGGGCAGGTCAAACATTATTATAACAAAGACGGAAAATTCACAGCCAAATGTGAGTATGGTTTCTTGACTTGGATAAGATTTAATTAAAAAAAAAAAAAAGCATCATTTTCAAAGAAAAAGGCAAACATTTTCAAACAAAAGGACCGCTTAATCTGTATTTGTACATTCTAATTAAAGCCCAGTCCTTTGTTAGGAATCTATATACTGTTTAAATCATAGCCTTGGTAATGTAGCCTTGAAGCGTTCTGCTAGCTAGCTTCCAGCAGCAGAGCACAACCCATAGTTCCACCAGGACTTGCCCACCACAGCAAGCTATGAGGCTGTCACTGTTGGCTGAGACATACCTGGGTCCCCTTGCAAAAGAATCCCTCTGTGAAAGCACAGAAAAGAGTTCATTGTTTGCCAATCATGCCAGCACTGGCTCCAACAAATCTTATTGCAATAATCAGCATACTCTGCCTACTTCGCTGATGAAGTGGATCCCTACACTGGTCTGAATAATAACTATTGAGTTGCTTTTTCTTCTTGCTTGTCTGATACCGTTTTTAAAAATGCATCTCTACTGGATAAAAAAAAAAGTCAAGCAGTGAGGCTGGCTCCAGCACAAGCAAGAGAACTGCCCCTCCTCAACTCTACACCATCATGCTTGGTTGTAAAAGGCAATGGTCGAGACAGCTAATGCTGTCTATTAAGGATTAGTTTTTCCATGTGGTCTACCTAGTGGGAGTCTTTTAAGAGAACAAATCCAAGTTTCAGGTGAGGATACCAAACTGGTATTAGGCATAGGTCACTGAGGTGCTCCCTTCACACTCAGAAGAAGTGTGCCTTTCAAAGCCTTTGCTTTGAAACATAGAAAATGATTCCAGAAGGTAGAAATCTTATAGATGAAAATAGATTGCCCTTGAATTTTGAGGCCAGGAGATGTCTACCAGATGAATAGGAAAGATCTCTCCCCTCCCGTAATCAGTCAGAACAGGCATTCCAAGAAAAGAACCTCCAAATGTGTTCTCCTAGACATGGTACAAATATCCAAGCATGTTCAGGCTAAACCATTACCATACAGCTGGTAGAACCACCCGGCTCTTGCAAACAATTTGCTATGTGGCCTTAAACAAATCACTTACATGTGATCAGCACTAGAGGAAAAAAAGTTTTCTGCTCCTTTTCTTTTCACATATAAAGGCATTATATGAAAAGATGCTGAACTATTGGCTTTTAGCCAGGGGAAAGGGGGGGTGGAGAGTTTACATACTTCCATTTATAGGGAATCATCATCTTCCTAGTTTTGAAAAGAGGTTTTTAAATGAAATCACTAAAAGGTCACTGCAATAAGAAAGTGAAATTTTCAGATGTATCTACTAACAGGTATGAGGGCATTACAGCAAAATAACAAAAATACATAAGAAAACATTTCGAAAAAAAAAGCTTTCATTACATAAAATAAGGCATATTCATAGCTCAGAAAAAAAGAACAACAACCATCTAAGGGCTAGACACAAAACATGAAGCTCCTCTCTATCCTTTGAAGGTCACCCTTATTCTTGGCGAGGTTCTCCCTCTACAGAAGGCACAAAAAAAACAAAACCACATCACATACATCTGCTAATTTCCTCTACAGAATTAATTCTTCCTTAAGATTTTTTCAATTTTCCTCCCACCTATCAAATAGCTATTGACACTTTCAGAGTGAGATCATTACCTTGTCTAAGTAAAAGATGACTGTCGATCAGCTCACCCCACAATTCCTAAAAGCAAATTAGCATCAAGCATGGATCAAAAAACAAACAAAGCAAGGTGAAGCACAAGGTACAGCTGGATGATAAAGTGAAACTGGATTTTGTGAGACCCCTTTCCACCACACCTCAGGGCTGCGCCCCCAAGTACTGAGCTCATGCCTTACAAATCCTTGCACAAAGCACAGTTGGCAAGTAATTTGGAGTCAACCATTTCACACT